ACAGATGTAGTCAATTTTATAACTGTGCCTGCAGTGCGGTGAGGTCCAGATGGAGAGTTGCTGTTTATGTTGCTGGAAAAGGATGTTTGCCTTGAAGAAGTTTGTTGATCCTATAAAATTCCATCATGTGATCTTCATCTTTGTTTCTGTCACCAAGGCCATATTTCCCAATAACTGATGAAAGTTTCCAACTCTTTTATTCTTATCACCAATAGTAATCAATGCATCTTGATTCCATCTTTGATCAATTTCAGACTGAAAAAAATGGTAGAATTCTTCAATTTTTTTTTTCACCAATAGCTTTGGTAGTGGTTGCTGCATCAATGTTAATAATAGTTGTATTAACTGCACTTTCTTGTCTTCATGCAGATACTGTCTTATCGCAGATAGCATTGTACCTTAGGATCTTGAAATGTACTTTTTGATAATGAATGTGATGTCATTCCTCTTGAATTTGTGATTGCTGGAGTAGGGAACCATGTGATTATCTGACTCAGCATGGCCAATACCAGTCCATTTCAGCTCACTGCCCACAATAGCAGTCTTTATGCATTTCATCCCATTTTTGATGGGATGCGATTTCCCTGATTCATACATCATGCTTTCCATGTTCCTGCTATTAATGGACGTTTGCAGTTGTTTCTGCTTATTTTCAATCATCCCTTACTAACACAGACAGTACTAAATGTATCACAGAGAACATAACATAGGCCTCGGATTTGTACCTCATTCATCACGAATTAGTTCATTTATACAACTCTTCATCGGGCACTGGCCCTGAGGTATTCCCCATGCTTAGCATTTGGATCCCAAGACGAGGATGACAGGCTCTTGTCTTGAGGATTTCAGATGTTGCATTCATGTAAATAGCAAGCATAAAGATTGCTGTCACTGATTGAGACCTACCATTCTGCTCTATCTCATTTCACTATCAACAGTCCTGTTAAGTTGGCAAGACTATTCCCAGTTTACAAACTACATTGTGCTTTGGGGATACCCCTTGTTGCAATGTGAAGAAATGTGGGAGCCATGCAAGGGGGCAGCATCTGCCTGAAAGGGTTGGAAGAGCACCTCTGAGGTTGCTTTCCTTGACTGTGTTTTAAGGATACATACATCGGAATTTCCTGGAGTCCCTTGGTGTTGCCTGTGGATAACTTGCTTGGCTGATGTGTTAGGCAGGGTTCTCTGGAGAACCCAAACCACGACACTTATGATTATAGATACAAAAGGATAGGTTTATATAACGAAAAGGAATACAAGAGCAAATGAGCCCACAAAGCAAGACAGAAAGCTCAGTCTAACTGACTATCATGGGACAGTCAATATACTGAAGGTCCTGCCAAGTCACGCTGGCTGCTAGGCCAAGGCCAAGGCAGCAGCCAGTAGGAAGAAGAGATGTAGACGCCTAGCAGAGGCTAGTAGCTCAGTGTAGCTAAGCAGCAGACACAGCAAGGTGGGACAGCACTGCGGCATGGAACAGCACAGTCCAGCATGGTCCAGCACAGTCCATGGGCTGGCTCGGCCCACAGGGAGCATAGTACACGTGTAGAGGCAGGGCAGCTAATTCAGGCAGCGCACTGGTCCAACTACCAGGGAGAAAGAGGAAGAGGCCAGTTTCTCAGAGCCATTTAACTTGGACGAGCCTTCAAAAGAGGCCATTGAGCTGCAACCTCATTGACAGGCTAAACTTCACCTACATCTTCATATGGGTGCCTTGTTGGCACAAAAAAACTGTCATAGCTGCTAACTGAAAGGTTGGC